GAGGGAAGGAGGGAGGGAGGGAGGTGAGGAAGGGGGTGGAAACAGGAGCAAAAGAAGAAACGGCCAGGGTTGCTGGCTGAGTCCACGGTGGCTCTGGGCTGGGGCACACACCTGGATTCCGGACCCCTCTGTCACAGTGATCTTCCACACACAGTTCAGGTTGTTGCCATAGGGCTCAGGGTAGCCGGGGGACAGAATTGTCCCTCTCCGTTGAGTGAAATTGCCACTGCAGGGAACTGAGAGACAGAGCCACAGAGAATAAACGTAAAATGCAGCGAGGCCATTAATTTGGCTTTGGTTTTCTTTTCTGTGTGGTCAGATAGTGGCAGGAACTTCCCATAAATGTCATTTGTAGCCCAGGTAGAGTTGAGTCCCTTTTAAATCAGCCATGCTGCTGGTGATCACCTGTTGTGCTACTCAACTTACAGACCTGGAACCTCTAAACACCTCTTCAGGTTTCTAAGAAGGTGCTGCACCTACCAACTGCATTTCTGAAGCGAATTCTATTTGGAATAATTCATCTACTTAATTTAAAGACCACTGCAGAGTGCTCTCTTCCCACACAGTCGTGCGGCTCCAGATGATGCTAACGGGATTTATGAGCAAGTCCAAGGAGAAGAAGAGATGCTTAAAATGCAAATGAATTCAAGTGCTAATTATGATTACACTAGAGTTTTCTACACAAAATGAAGCAAATAAAACCTAACTAACAATGCCATTGCCATTCAGGCTGCATTAACCTCTTGCTTTTCAAACATTCATCAGCACAAATGTATTAAAGAGCATTACCCAAGTAATACAGCAAATCAACCTCATCATGCTTTTACCCCAGAATGAAATTATGTGGTATGGCCGCGAAGTCAGAGTCGATGGCACTCTTAACAGAATGGAGAGAGGAAGTGTGCTCGGGCCTTATGCCCTGATGCGTCTTAGGACACCATCTCTTCAGGGGTGGCTCCTGCTCAGCCATTCCTCAAACACAACCTGCTCATCATGCAGGTTAGGAGATGGGCACTCTGTGTGGACCAGACAGTGACCCTGGACAGCAGCTCTCCGCACTGGGGACTGTAGGCACAGCCCACACCTGTCACCCCACCTGTGGAGGACACTCACCTACACAGCTGGGCACGGTGTCGTTCCACTGAGCAAGTGCGTTGGGCACAGACTGGCAGCGGATGGCCGTGGAACCCTGCAGCAGGTACCCTGGGTTACACTCAAATCGAACAATGGAGCCTGCGGAGAATTCAGAGCCGATTCTTCTCCCATATCTGGGCTCGGGGACAGAGCTGCACTGGGTGTCACTGGTGCGAGGGACAGCTGGAGGCAAACAGAACACAGACGTCTGTGTCTTTATCAGCAGACCACCACCTCATCTGGACAACAGACTGGAGCCCGGGAGAGGGATGCTGACCCCAGAAGTCAGCATCTCCAGCCCCGTCTGTGGGGTGTGACCTCAGGAGCAGGTCCACCCCACACTCCAAGCTCAGGTGACCTGAGGACCCCCTGGATTTCCCACTCAGAGCAGGAAATGGACATAAGAAGAATAGTGCCTTACAGGGCTGAGTGACATCAAGCAAGTAATTGACCACCAACAAGGACATCATCACTTCACAATGACAAGCTGTATTCAGCCTTGTTAGGGTTTGGAGGGTCCCCCAAAGCTCATGTGTGAAACTATGCAAGAAAGTTCAGAGGAGAGAAGATTGAGTTATGAGCACCTTCACCCAGTCAGTGAGTCCATCCCCTGGAGGGATTAACTGGAGGGTGGCTGAAGGCAGGTAGGCTGTGGCGGGAGGAGGTGGGGCACTGGGATGGGCTTTTGGGGTCTATATTTTGTATTTGGCGAGTGGAGCTTTCTTTCTCTCTCTCTCTCTCTCTCTCTCTCTCTCCTTCCTGATCACCATGAGAGCTGCTTCCCTCCACCCCACTCTTCTGCCATGTGGGCTGAGACCACCAAAACCTTGAGTCTCCTCTCGAATTGTTCTTATCAGGTTTTTTAGTCACAGCAGTGAAAAAGTTGACTAAAACAAGCCTCCATAGTCTTAAAATCTAGTGGGGAAAGCCACTCTTTACAGCCTCCTTATGACATGACCATTGCCATGTAGTAATGAAATCTAAATAGGACTACCACATGATACGGCAGGCCCGGCTCTGGGTATTTACCTGAGAGGACTGAGTCCAGAGTTCCAGAAGACCTCTGCAAGCTCACCGCAGCGCTACTCAGTATAGACAAGATGGGGAACAAGCTAACTGTCCGCAGAAGAATGGGTGAAGAAAAGGAGTCTAAACGTGTGTGCACTGGAATTTTACTCAACCTTACAAAGGAAGGATCTCCTGCCCCTCGAGGACTTGTGCAAAATGAAATGAGCCAGTCCCAGAGGGCCAAGGCTGCAGATTCCGCCCAGCAAGGAGGCAGTCTTAGATCTCGCACTCACAGGGGCCGAATGCACAGTGGGCATGACGAGGCCTGGCTGGGGGGGTGGAGAAGTTCTGCCTGCAGTCAGCCACCCTGCGCTGTGCACCTGGAAGGAGCTCAGAGCAGGCCTCCTCAAAGAGAGAGAAGCCCAGGCATCTGCCGGCTGCATGTCACTGAGAGGAAGGCCACATTGGAAGCCACGAAAAGGCCCAAGAGTCCCTGTGTGTCCAGCATGAGCAGGCGCTCCCTACTCTCAACAGTCCCAGGCTGCTCTGACCCTCCCACCTTCTAGGTAAGATGAATGTCCGGTGCCAATGACCATGACCGTGACAGCTATTTATTTTAAGAAAACCAACAATTAAGGAGTAATACCTGCTTTCTAAAGCAATTTTGGAGACCGTTTCTCAGGAAGACGTTTGGAAAGCCAAGAGAAGAAATGAATTTTAATATCCCAGGGGGTGGGAGAGAGGAAAGCTACAAAACTGAGACATGAGCCCGCGTGTGTGTGTCTGGGGAGAGCCCAGCACTCTCTGCACCCAGCCCTCTGGGTCCGCCCTCGGGCCCCACCTTCCCTGGCCCTTCACACAGCCTCTGCCCCCCACTGTGATCCCCCTCTACCAGTTAGGAACACTTTACATGGCTGTGAGACAACAGCAAAAGCGAACTAGTGAAAAGTGGGCAGAGAACAAGGTCGTGCTGGAGAACCAAGGTGAGAGGCCAGACAGCTGGGTGGCTGGGACCAGTGCTGCTGCAGGGCCCAGAGTGGAAGCACCAGGAACGGGTGTGTGCCTTTAGTGGGCACCAGGGGATGGCTCTGTTAATCATCTGTCACCACCACGGACACAACCGCAGATGCGAGCGTGAAGCTCTCTTGCTGCACTCCTGCCGTGGGCGGTGCAGGAGATGTGCCCAAGAAAACAAACCTGAGTGCAGGTAGGACCGGCCTGCAGTGTCCACCTGAGGCACGTGTAGGACCGGCCTGCAGTGTCCACCTGAGGCACGTGTAGGACCGGCCTGCACTGTCCACCTGAGGCACTCTCCTATTTCCTTTAGTGACTGGAGAACATCTCCTGCTTCTTCATCTCCTGCTGGTCTCAGTTTTGCAGCTTTCTTCTCTCCCACCTCCTGGGATATTAAAATTTGTCTCTTCTCTTTGCTTTCCAACGTCTTCCCCTCTGGCTCTGAGACATCTGATTTGACAGGTCATTACTAGCAGGGGAATTTAGACATTTATTGCCAGATTACAAATAAAATTTATGCTGAAACTTCTTTGTAAAAGCTTTACATTTAATAAGCTCTTAATATAAAATGTGAATATCTTAAAGGGGGAAACCAATTAAGCCTCCATGTTGTTGTTGTCTAAAAGGAGAGTTAGACCTGGAAAAATGTGGCGTAAGAAGCTGTTCTAGGAGTGGCCAGGAATAGGTTGGAGTTGTGGGCGTGGCCAGGGAGGGTGGGCGTGTCTGGGAGTGAGATGCTTTTCTGGGCAGGTGGTTCAGGACCGATGATGTTCAGGCATTGCTGGGTGGCCAGTAGGGAAAACTGGTCAGGGTTGGTGACCCAGCACCCATGCCATGGAAGACCAAAGGCGAGCTGCCACTTCTAAAGTGTCCCCCATAGGGAGGTGTTGTGACACATGGCTTCCTTTCCCCCGAGATATAGACGATGAACCTTTACTAAAGCTAGGAGAAACGTACAGTAGATCCTTCTAGTTTAATAATTCTGGTATGAGTTCTGTGGAGGAGGCTGAAGTGGCCCAGAACTGCATGCTGGAACAGGGCGGGAGAGCAGGCTGTGTACACCTAGCGTGCACACAGGAGCGTTAAAGGCAGTCTGATATTGATGATAGACTCAGGTGCCAGCTCCCCTCAGACAGTCACAGGCACCAGACAGAGAGGGCAGAGGAGAAGGTGTGGACAGTGTTGCCTACGCTGCCCCAATGGGCACCTGCCTGGTGGTCAGCAAGAAGCAGGAGGGTTTTGGCCATGATTTGCTGGCCTCTACTAGCCTATCCACTCATTCCAGTGTGGACTCCAGTACTGAGAGGCAGATACTTGGTGTCACCAAAATGTTTCTAGTACAAAGTGATGACATTACCGAACAGAATCAAAGTCCTCTTCTAAGACTTTAGAAGAGGACTTACTAAGTAATGCTGTGTGCAGTTCTTTCCTTTGCTCTGACCTAAGAATACACTGGCTTTTGATGAGGAATTGCAAGGATCCCACGACTGAGTAGCACATCCCAAGCTCTGCCAGCCTCTCTCTCTATCTGGCAGTGAAAGGGTCAGGGGACTCAGGAATGCAGAGGGGGTGACAGGAGTCCCTCCCCAGGAACTCCTGGGGGGTAGGAAGCTGGTAAGGAAACCCTGCTTATATCTAAGAAGAAACATGCAAGACTAAACATGCCCGGGCCTTCCAGAGTAAGTGCCCACCCGAGTCCTCAGGAAGCCAGCATGTGCAGGAATAATGCCGCGGCCACCACCTCAAACCGCAGGACCACAGCCCTCCTAGACACTCACACTTCAGGGGGAGTGCTGACCATTCCCCACAGGATGAGCTCTCACCACGCCTCTGCTTCCCAAGTTTGTTGACCACCACATTGCCTCAGACACCGCGAACGGTGCTTGGGCTGCTGGGGTCAGACTAGCCACAGCAGGGAAGGGTGTTCAGCCCACAGGGACGTGGCTGCCAACTGAGCCTGCCTAACTCGGCTGCCCACTAGTCCTTTTTTTTTTTTAGAGAGAGATAATTTATTTTTTCATTTTCGGCAGACACAACATCTTTGTTTGTCTGTGGTGCTGAGGATCGAACCCGGACCGCACGCATGCCAGGCGAGCGCACTACCGCTTGAGCCATAGCCCCAGCCCCTGCCCACTAGTCCTTCTTGCTCACGGTCATGGTGAGCTATGCCACTCTGCTCCCAGAGAGTAGCCAGGCCCTGAGTTCCCACTGAATAGCCCCCAACAGTCATGCACTTCCACCCCACCCCAGGTTCCAGCTCAGGGGGGACCCATGCTGAAGAGCCAACTGCTGCATTGTGCAGACGGTGGACTCTTGGCCTTCCAAGGGTACCAACTCTCTCTTCCTGCCCTCAGGCTTCCAAATGTCAGCTCCTACTCTCAAGGACTGTGGGAAACAAATGAATGGAAGCCAGCAAATACCTAGGATGATCAGGACACTTTGTGAAAAACGAAAGCCCCTATGTACATGTCCTTTTCTTTCTCTCCACAAGTTTGAGAGATGGTAGCATCATGGTTACCGAAGTCTCCACGTTAGTATCAGGATGACCTGAAGAGGCAGGGAGCAGAGAGCCACCAACGGCCCCAGGAGGACCACCCTTGCTCACCTACTCACAGACATAGCTTGCACTCTGACCCTGCTCATCTGTCCCCAGCAGTACTTCACAGTTGAGCTGTCTGGGAACAAGAGCTAGATCACCTGCCACCAGAGGAGTCATAAAGTCACTGTGCAATTTTAAGCTTTAGTAATTCACAAAAGAAGGAAGCTGTAACTAACATAGGAAGCACTGTTCAGGAAACTTTCACACAAGAGAGTTCAAGTAATTTGGGGGCTTCAACATTCAACACAACAGCTACCTTTCATAGGTATTGAAAATTTCCCCATTGCTGTTGAGTGATTTGTAAATTGCATTCATTGTCTTCTCCCTGTATCTGCAAAGGAGTTAGCTCTGATGAAAAGAGACCCCGATTTTTGCATAACCTCACTGGTTGAAAGCAAGAAAAAAGGGTATATTGGGACTTTATAAAATATTGAAGATATTAGAGCCATTTATATTCTTCAGAACAAGGAAACTAGATTCCGTCTATGTTTTTCTTTACTCTCTGCTTTTCTTTTAATAATCATGCATGCTTTTAAACAAGAAAACATGATTTCAAAAATATGTTTTCTGGCGATAACATTTGAAGATAAAGATGTTGAGTCATTTGCATAAGATATTTCATCTGATTATCTGAACAATTTTGTAATCTTTATAAAAAAATCAAAGCAAGTATCTTAGAAAGGCAGAGAATGTAGAGAATGCCAATGACTTGAATTTTTTCAGGAGGAAAAAATATACTTAGATCAATTGGTTCAGTTTCTTTACATATATTACGTGAATTTTGGCTTGTGAATATACTTTTTCAAATTAATTTAGAATTTATTTGAAGAAAATTAGGAGTGGCAAGAGGTAGGCTCTTTAAATTGGTCTCTCTCCTAATAAAGTCAATTTTTAAGAGATACTAGTTAATTGTTCATATTTAACAAGAGTACAGCTTATAGCAAGGTGGTGACATTTAAATCAATAGCATAGAGATTCAATCAACTGCTGCTTAAACCAGGTTCAAGATAGTTTGCCTCCTACTTATCTGTCAAATATTATTCTCACTTTCTTTCCACTATTCTTTAAATATTCTTATTGCTGAAAACTGAGGCTTCTTTTATAGTGAAATATTTTGATGGCATGGCTTTTGCAATGTGAGATTATTAGCTAGGATATATAAATATACGACCTTGTTATTCTCTATATTTTTTTTGAAAAACATAATATATCAAGGATGCTTCTGAAGTCTTTGTTAAGGGAAACATGTCATTTCTAAAAAATTATTTCCTTCCAACTGAAAGAGAATATTTAGGGGTGGGTAGTATTCTCTCTAGCCTAGAGGAAAACTGGATCAAGATCACGCCTTATGTTTGGACAGTTTTTCTCTACAAGGAAAAGTCTCTCCCAGATCCCCCCCCCACCAAAGGTGATCATGATAAGTCCCATGTTGCCCCTGCTCTCATCCCCAAATGTACATGCGGTCACCTGGCAGTTTCTTAAGTTCACTCAATGAAGGTGCAAAAAAGGTAAACCACACTCAGGTAAAATTCTTCACCCTTCAAATCTATGAAGCAATCCCAAGTTTATTTTTAATGAGTTCCAAATTTAAAAATAAACAGAAATGATGTAGAAGAGCTAAAAGTGAATAAAGCACGACCAACCAAAATTAGGTAGGTAAAGTGAGAGATGCATAAGTTTTTTTTTTGTTAAATTGTTGTTTAAGTTTATTTTCCCAGTAACAATTGGATTACCTGATTAAGTGTGTTTCATTCAAGTCCTTGCAAAGATATAAACTATAATGAAATGGTTTACTTAATCAGATAAAATATTATATTTGCAGACATTTTGAGAAGTGCAGAGCTACACAAAGGTCATAGGATAAAGATCCGTCTCTGTATAGTGCTGGATAAATGAGATATTATGATCTGGAGTAGAAATAGAAAATCCAGGTGTTGAAAGAACAACTAATATTTTCATTAAATAATTTTATCTTATATAAATATCCTCAATTCCTTAAATATCACAAAAGTATGGTTTGGATACTTCCATGACTTGTCTGAAGAGGGTGGAGCTGCAGTGTTAGAGGAGCCAAGGAGGGGGACAGGGGGTGCATTTACCTTGATAAACAAAGTGGAAGCCCCTGGCGGCTGCCCCACTCTTGGCGCTGAATCGAAGCAGGATTTGATTGGATGTAGCCAAAGGCAGCGTTTCACCTACAGATAAAAGCAGAGATGATTCCTGGGGCCAGAAAACACCCAGCCTTGGGTGAACGGGAGTATTCACAGAGATCATTTTAACTTGGAATTTTACAATGAATTTTTGAACTTTAAAAAAATAAACTTTAATTTTGGGTTTAAGACCCAAATATTGTTTATATCAAGACTTTAAAACTCTGTTCCTACAGTCTAGTAAAATGTATTCAATCACTGTTTCATGTTTGCTTCTTCTGAAGACAACAGAATAGGGCTACTGGCTGATAACACGTAAGACACAATTAGCTGCGTCATTACCTCAGATTACATTGATTCGATTCTTGCTGGCTAGAAATTTTCTTAAAATGAAAAAAAAAATTTTTTTAATTGAAGGTTGATTTTAAAAATTAACACATTCAGAAAAAGCCTACTGAAGTAAAATTGTAACCTCTTGAGAGAGCCTGGCCTGTATCCTATCATGAACAGCTTGGGAGTGGGTGGCTACAAGATTTTCCAGGAGAATTTGTTACTACGTATCAAGATTTTGAATGCCTCTTCTTAAAGGTTCTACCATAGGATGTTGGTAGAAAATAACAAAACATGGTCGTAGCTGTTTGGTTAAGAAATAGTGATTTCTAGGTGTTGGTTTTATGTCCTGCTACTTTGCTGAATTCATTTATTAGTTCTAGAAGTTTTCAGGTGGAATTTTTTGGATCTTCTAAATATAGAATCATGTCATCAACATATAGTAATAGTCTGAGTTCTTCTTTTCTTATTGGTTTCCCTTTAATTTCTTTTGTCTATCTAATTGCTCTGGCTAGAGTTTCAAGGATAATGTTGAATAAAAGTGGTAAAAAGGGGTATCCCTGTATTGTTCCAGTTTTTAGCAGGAATGCTTTCAATTTTTCTCCATTTAGAATGATGTTGGCCTTGGGTTTAGCATAGGTAGCTTTGATAATGTTGAGATATGTTTCTGTTATCCCTATTTTTTTCTACTCTTTTTAGCATTAAAGGGTTCTGTGTTTTGTCAAATGCTTTTTCTGTATCTGTAAATTCAGCAAAGTAGCAGGGTAAAAAATTAACACCCATAAGTCAAATGCATTCCTCTACATCAGTGATGAATCCACTGAAAGAGAAATTGGAAAAACTACTCCATTCACAATAGATTCAAAAAAATAAAATATTTGGGAATTAACCTAACAAAAGAGGTAAAAGACTTCTATGATGGAAATCATAGAACACTAAAGAAGACGACTTTAGAAGATGGAAAGATCTACCTTGCTCTTGGATAGGCAGAAATAATACGGTCAAAATGGCCATACTATCAAAAGCACTATATAAATTTAATGCAATTCATATTAAAAATTCCAATGGCATTCTTCATAGAAATAGAAAAAGCAATCATGAAATTCATTTAAAAAAAAATAAGAGTCCTAGAATAACCAAAATGATCCTCAGTGAGAAAAGTGAAGCAGGAGGCATCAGACTGCCAGATCACCAATTGTACTACAGAGCCATAGAAACAAAGATGACATGGTATCGGCACCCAGACAGACATGTAGACCAATGGTACAGAAGAGAGGACACAGAGACAAACCCACATGAATACAGTTATCTCATACTAGACAAAGGTGCCATAAACATACATTGTATAAAAGTCAGCCTCTCAACTAATGGTGCTGGGAAAACTGGAAATCCATATGCAGCAGAATGAAACTAAACCCCTATCTCTCACCCTGCACAAAACTCGACTCAAAGTGGATCAAGGGTCTAGGCATTAGACCAAAGACTCTTTGCCTAACAAAAGAAATGATAGGCCTAATCTCCACCATGTCAACTTAGGAACTAACTTCATTAACAAGACTCCTAAAGCAAAAGAAGTAAAATCCAGAATCAATAAATGGGATCAAACTAAAAACCTTCACAGAAAGAAAGCAATCAAGAACGTGAGAAGAGAGCCTGCAGAATGGGAGAAATTCTTTACCACATGCACTTCAGATAGAGCATTAATCTCCAGGATATATAAAAAACTTAACATCTAAAAACCAAATAACCCAATCGATAAATGGGCTAAGGAACTGAACAGACAATTCTCAGAAGAAGAAATACACATGGTGAACAAATATATGCAAAAATGTTCAACATCTCTAGCAATTAGAGAAATGCAAACCAAAACTACTCTAAGATTTCATCTCCCTCCTTCCAGAATGGCAATTATCAAGGATATAAATCATAATAAATGTGAGCGATGATGTGGGGGAAAAGGTACAAACATACATTGCTGGTAGGACTGCAAATTGGTGCAATCACTATGGAAAACGGTATGGAGATTCCTCAGAAATCTGGGAATGGAACCACCGTTTGGCCCAGCTATTCCACTTCTTGGTTTATAACCAAAGGACTTAAAACCAGCATACGACAGTGACGCAGCCACATCAATGTTTATAGCACCTCAATTCACAATACTATGAAACCAACCTAGGTGCCCTTCAGCAGATGAATGGATAGAGAAAATGTGGCATATATACACAATTAAATATTAGCCTTAAAGAAGAATGAAGTTATGGCATTTGGTGGTAAATGGATGGAGATGGAGAATGTCACACTAAGTGAAATAAGTCAATCCCTAAGAATCCCATAGAAGTGAATGCTGTATCTGATATGTGGATGCTGATTCATAATACGGTGGGGAGCTAGGGAAGAACAGAGGGACTTTGGATCAGACGGAGGGGAGTGAAGGGAGAGGAGGGTATATGGGGATGGGAAGGATAGTGGAATGAATCAGACATTATTACCTATGTGCATATATGATTATATAACCAGTGTACTTCTACATCATGTGCAACCAGAAGAATGAGACGTCATACTCCATTTATGTATGCTATGTCAAAATGCATTCTACTGTCATGTATAACTAGTTAGAACAAATTTAAAAGCGTAAAGATAAAAAAGAAATAGTGAAAAGCTGGAAATAACTAAATCTTAACCTTAGTAGCTTCGAGACTGTGTATACATCCTTTACTTGGAGACTGATTTAGCAAATTTAACAAGTAAATGCTGAAAAGATAGCAGAAGTGAAAATAAAGGGACTGGCTCATTGGTAAGGGGTGTGGTAAATAGACTGTGATAAATTAATCCCGCAGAGTTGTGCCGTTCCCTACGTATTGAAGGGGACTGGTTTCAGGAACCCTCCATGGACACTGGAATCTATGGATATTCTCTGCCTGGGCACAAGTTCAGGTTTTAAAGGATTTAGAACAAACTGTGAAGAGCTCTTGACTCCAGGTAGAGGATTATGAAGCAGAAAACAAATACATGACACAACTTAGCACCCATTAAGTTTCTGATATTTGCTCTTATATTGACATATTACATGTTCCATGATCTTACTATGGAACATAAAGGTGGGTGTTTTTTAAATAGGATAAGACACTTCTGAAAGCTTATACCTAAAACAAGACTTTGCTAAACACACCTGCAAATTCAATCATTAAATTTCTCATTCATCAAAACAAAGAAATAGACAAATTTAAAATCAGTCACCACAGATGTCTCATGGGATTGTAAAAGCATCTGACCTGAATGAGAGCCCGAGAGTGAACTGAGAAGTCTGGCCTGGGGGTGGGTTCCATCAAACAGTTCTGCCAAGTCGTTCAGCGCTGTCTGGAAGTACGCAAACTGCCCGAACACCACTGAAAACAAAGGGCGGAGGGAAAGATGCTTTAGAAGGGAACAGAGGCCAGGGTGGACAGCGCTGGCTGGTCCCCCAAGCACCACTACCTCAACATTCCTGTAAAACATAAATGGGAATTTATTTTTTCTGTATTTTTTCAGTGATAAAACAATTTTACTTTACATCTTGTTTTTTTGGTAGTTAATAAGAGGAGAGAAATTACTGCTCTCTGTGTAATTTTAACATTAAATGAGGATTTTTTTTTCTTTTATTAAATACTGCATTAAAATAGTAGAAGAACATCTATAAAGGCATCCCATTAATTTTTGTGTAATCAGAGACATTTTATTCAATAAAAAATAAACAGATAAAAATGCATGGTAATTTGGTGAGTAATTTAAAATTCGTTACAGAAAGTTACTCTATTAACAATTTATGTTAACCCACCGTCAAATTCATATTAACTTGTTCATACCCTTGATTCAGCAGCACACGTAGGACTTGCTTATTGTTATTCCTCTGCACAATTTTATTTATCTTATAGGTTAAGTTGTGTGAACACCCCTTCTCCAAGTATATCATAAATACATACTATACAGTGAAAAATTTAATTTATATTTGTGAATTCAAATTGGTGATAGAGAGTCTTTAAATATTTAGGAAATCCTGTGATTCAGCATCTATTTCCAAGCAATAGCAACTCATCCTTTTCCTATTTATGTGAAAGCTGGGCCGTCATTCTAAATCATTGGAGCAAGGGGTGGAGACGCACATTAGCTGTGCGAGCCCAGGTTCTGTGATAGTGAGCACACAAGAGGCCATCTACCTGCAGGAGTATGCATGTCTCTGTCTACACACGCACTTGAGTGCTGTGTATGTAAAGAGTGTGCACACGTGTGTGACATGCCTTGTGAATGGAGAGTTTTAAGTTCCCTGGGAGGTAGCTCAGAGGAGCCTGTGGACAGGAGGCAGTTCCCCCAGCGAGGTGCTCCACAAGTGCGCGGTTCAGAGGCTACAGCTAGGAGAACGTCACGATTCCCTACATTTCTAGCATGTGCCCCGCCATTTCCAAAATCAATTTTGTTTTCATCATGTTGGCGGTGGAATACTTGGGTGTCTTAATCAGAACAAAAGTGAGCCATCTACACGTAATTCCTACTTTTGTTCAAGAAATCTTTAGCAAAACATCCGCTTCATGGCAGGAACTTAGAGGAGGGAAGAGGACGCTGATGTGGTGGCAGGACTGCAGCAAGCAGGGGCGCGGAGTGCACACGAGGAGGAGCCACGGTCCCTCTGGGGGACTCCTTCTGAGGGCTTCCGGGGCCCAGTCTAAGAGCCTGGGGCTCAAGGCAGGTGCACTCCAGGAAGTCATCTGCTGAGAGAACGGTGCACAAGGGACCAAGTGCACAGCAGGACTCCAGGGACTCAGGCCGCAGGAGGGCTGTGTCCAGCTGTGGGTAAGGCTCACATTTCCCAGGAAGGTATGCAGTGTCCCCCAAAGCTCGGGTGTCAGATTATGCGATAATTTTCAGATGTAAAATGATTAGATGATGAGAGGTGTGACCTGATCATGGATTACTGCACTTGAAGCATTAACTGGGTGGTAACTGTGGGCAGGTAGGGTGTGGCCGGACAGGTGGGGTGTGGCCAGAGGAGGGGGTCCCTGGGACTTGCCACTGCGGGAAGTCTCTCTGTTTCTCTGGTTCCGTGTGCGGAGCTGCTTTCCCCGGCCACACCCTTCCACCATGATGTTTGCTGCATCTTGTGCCTGGAGCTGGGGCATTTTTAGGCCATGGACCACACCTCTGAAACCATGAGCCAAACAAACTTCTCCTCCTCTACTCTGTTCTCATCAGGAGTTTTGGTCACAGTGATGCGAAAGCAGACTCAAACAGTGCTTCACCAGTGAGAAGGAAACACTGCCCCCCCCTTTGCTGTATCCTAAGGATGGACTATAAGGAAATCCTTTCACAAGTAGGCCACAGTGAGCGAGACTTTGGAGGTGACAGTCTGAATTGGCTGTCACTTGGTGGATCAGGGAAGAAGGTGACAGCCCATATCTCCAGGGCCTGAAACGCCCGACTTCAACACATACATTTCACAGAGTAGGCAAAGGAGTGGGCGAATGTTTATCAAGATGTTAACATGATCCTCTTTGGTTTTACAAAGGGTACCTGGGGCTCCCTGGGGTGAACACAGACACCACTGACATCTCTGAGGACCTGTACTTCATGCCACTTCCCCTTTGCGGCCTGTGCTGACCACAAGGTGGGCAGCCCTTCCTGCCCAGACAGCGTCACGTCACCTCCTGGTTCACACACCTGCCGAGCACACCACACACAGAGCATGTCAGGACACAGGCCGTACTTCATTCATATTGGTGTCACTGGCACTTATCAAAGTATGGAATTGCTGAACCAATTGATTAATGTCCCAGGAAACAGTAGGTAAGGGGTAAGAAAGGTCAAAATCATTAGGGATTTTCCTTAAGTATTTCATGTAACACTTTCACTCCAAACTAAAGCTTTAATTTGATGGAGTGGGGTGTTGGTGTTCCTGAACTATTCAGGTTGGGACCTTATAATCAATATTCAGGATAGGGCATGTGACTTTTCTTGTGTTCAAAATCACTGTTGCATTGTGATGTGAGGTATGATTTATAATAACTGCAATCATAGACTGACTGCTGTATTCCAATTTGATAAAGACACTTTGATGCATAAAAGGTAGAAAGAGTAAAGTAACTGGAGGAATTGGAGCATTTGGGGGAATGAAGAAGCTTTCCCTTCAGTGCAGGGTCAAGGCTGAGGTGCACAGGAGACCACAGCCCCACCTGCCCACTAACAGACCTGCCCGCTGTGCCCAGGGATGCAAGTGTCCTGCCCCCCGCAGGGCTGCTGTGCAGGCCTCCCTTGCCCAAGCAGGCAGCCAGCGGAGAGAGTGATTCCTCAGAAACACTAGGAACCGCCTGGCCAGGTTCTGGGGTTGTGGGTCAGACTCCTGGGGACACGCAGCTGTAGCACGTTGGCAAAGACCTCAGGGACACCTGGGCTGCACCTGAGAGTCTGCACCTGTGCTGCGACCCCTACCTCTGCATGATGTCACTGTTAGGAGCTGGATATTTACCAAATGACAGGAAAATGAGCCCTGAGAGACACGTGAGAAACACGACAACGAACTGAAAACCAAGTACTTTCTTACCAAATTCCTTGGGCACGGTTATGGAGTAGAGGCATATTTGGCCAGCTGTGTAGTTATGCGGGTAGTTTGGTGACAGGACCACCCCTTCGGATCCCGTGTACTGGCCTCCGCATGGAGCTGGAAAGAGATCAGTGTGAGTGACAGAGTGACACGCAGGACAGTGTGAGCGACAGCTGAAGCCCAAAGGTGTCCTGGGAGCAGACGCTGCTGGGGGGAAAGCGCAGCGAGGCTCGCCCAGGTCCTGCTCTGCAGGGAGACCCAAGGGAGCCAGGCCACGCAGGGCCCCGTTAGAGGGGATCTCCTGGGGTCTCAAGACCGGTCCAGGCAGGTAACAATAAAACAGCGGATCAACTGTAATAATTAATCCCTTTAAAAGGCTCCTCCAAACACCGTGGCTGATCCCAGTCATCCTGTCACCATGAGAGATGCGAACCATTTCAGTTTCCTTCACAGGAAACTCAGAGAATGGCACGTTTTCCTTTGCAGGCTCTGTTTGTTTTAACTTTGCATTTCCTACACGCAGCTGAAGGGTAGCACTCGGGAATGCTTCTGGGGTCTCCAAGTTCACCTTAGAGCTCAAGGAACACCCAGCCAGAGAGCTGGGGCAGAAAGAAAGATGCTGAGCAACAGAGAGCTCAGTGTCTGTGGGTGTGCCTCTGGTGTACATGGGTGTGTGTAGGAGTGTGTACATGTATGAATCCCTGTGTATCTGTGTACATGGGTGTGAATGGGTGTGGGCATCTATGTATCACTGTGTGCCGACATGGGTGTGTGAATTATACATGTGTATAGGTGTGTGCATGTGCGTATTTGTGTATGTGTATATGCCAGTGTGTATGTATATGTGTACATGTGGGTGTCTGTGTGAATGTATACAAGTGGCTGTGTGTATGGGTGTATCTGTGTGTATAGGTGTGGCTGTGAGTATGGGTATGGCTGTGTATGGGTGGATCTATGTGTGTGGGGGTGTATCTGTGTATGGATGGATCTGAGTGTGTGTGCATCTGTGTGTGTGTATGGGTGGATCTGAGTGTGTGTGCATCTGTGTGTGTGTATGGGTGGATCTGAGTGTGTGTGCATCTGTGTGTGTGCATCTGTGTGTGTGTGTGGAATGCATACAACTGTTATAGGCTCAGCTGGGGCATCCCATCCATCATACATAAGGAAGATAATATCCATAAGCCAATCATCTTATGCCTATGGTAACTGCACTGTGAGGAAGCTCTAAATATTGCTATTGTCTGGAAGGGTCTTTGTCCCTAAGGGAGGGGCCTTCTGAGTCAGGGGTCTCAGGCCCCGAAGCTCCTGACTATGGGTTTCCTGGCCTGGCAGCTGGGTCACACTGACCACAAGTGCTGAGGCTGTGGTTTCACTAAGGGCTCCCAGAGCAGAGCACCCCATCCTGCAGGCCTTCCTGTCAGGCCTGAAGAGCGTAGATTCTTCAAGCCCTCCAAGCTGCTCACAGCTGCTAGCTGTAAACCAAAAGTTATTCCAGTGGATCTATGTGAGTGTGTACGGGTGGATCTCTGTGTGTGGGTATATCTGTGTGTGTAAGGTTTATCTGAGTGTATGGGTGTATCTGTGTGTATGTATGGGTGCATCTGTGGGTGTGTGTATGGGTGTATCTGTGTGCATGTATGGGTGCATCTGTGGGTGTGTGTATGGGTGTATCTGTGTGTGTGTATATGGATATATCTGTGTGTGTGTATGAGTACATCTGTGTGTGGGGGGGTGTATCTGTGTGTGTGTATGAGTACATCTGTGTGTGTGGGGGGTGTATCTGTGTGTGTGTATGGGTGAATCTGCGTGGGGGGTTTATCTGTGTGTGTGTATGTGTATGGGTGTGTCTATGTGTTTGTGTGTGTGTGTGCTCATCTGTGTGCGCATGTGTGGGTGCATCGGCATCCTAGAGCAGACATCCAGCTAGAGCACAGTCACGCGGTGCTCAGTTTCCAAGTCTCCAGCTCCTCTGCGCCTCCTGTTTGATGTGGAGGGCTGGTGTGCCCTGGCCTGTGCAGTGGCAGAGTGGGCCAGCGTGGAAGTGCCCGCTGCCAGCCTGCCACCCTGAAGCCTGCCTCCTGCAGCCCTACTCTCTTCTCATCTTACACACCCCTCGGCTGGCTAGGACTCAGACCGTTCAGAAGTCCATATTTCTACAGCTCGCTTCTCCTTGATATGGTAATTTTCAAAAAATAGAAATGAGAGCATACTGAATCCTTTGAATGTTAATCAGCACAGTTAAATCCTATTAATGAACTGAACATTCTCCACCATTAATAAAACTCAGAATATGCAACTGCTAATGCTCAGACACCTCATTCATTATTTTCAAGAGAGTTAATGGTTTGTCCACCAATTTCCCAAATCCTTGTATTTCAGTGTCTTGGAAAGCTCTAAGTCTATTCTAGAAGTCGAAGAAAAACAGCTGAGTCACCGGTGTGCTCTGTCCCTGCTCCAGAGGCTGGTAGAGACCTGAGCGAGCTCAGCACACCTCCATGCCAATGCTGTGATTCAGAACGCCTTCATCATTCCAAATGACATCTTACAGTTTTAAATAGAAAAAGATCATTTTCACTTTGGGGTGGAAGATACCTCCAAAGCTGAAGGCACCCAGGCAAGTGTTGGGAGCCCCCTCCTCCGTGTAGATGTGCCACTCAGAGTCATCTCCATCTCATCACATGAATCCAAACTGGCTATTTCAGGAAAATCACCTCTTTTTTCTCAAAGGTTTATAGACCAAAGTTGTGAAAATAAATACAAACAAAAAATGGAGACTTATCTCCTTTTAGCCCAGGCACGTAATACTCAGGCAGATCATTTTGCAACCACCGCTCTTCAAGAGTAATAAATAACCTATTTCAAATTTCAGAGAAAATGTGTAAATGAAAAATGGAAAAAAATGACTTTGCCAAAATTTTGATGCCCAAATTTTTAGATATTAGAAATTTATTCTTCTGAAGAACACTTTCTGATGTAGTTCTTAAGGTGTGGCTACAAACACTTTGTCCCAGGATTGGGTAAAAGAGCACTGCTGTTCTAAAACTCAAATAAGAAATGAAGAAAAACGGTGTTTGTTCTTACCACTAAATATGCTTCTGCCTGACATCCTTCCTGAAGCTTAAATCACCACAACTAAAAAATGCATCCCACCGGCCACAAAGATTTCTGGAATTGAGAAAACATGCAGAGAATGCTTGTCGATTCTTAATAACCATTCTGTTTCTTTTCCTATGCTCAGGTAGGGAGCAGACCTGCCCCTTCTCTTACTCTATATTAATGTGAGCACAGAATAAAAATAAGTGAGTGTGTCCCGTTTGACAACTAACCTGCTAAACTGCTTTGTAGGTGAAAAAAGATTGCCACAGCATTCGTGGCAAGTGGTCAAATGAAACCTAACCACCCATTTGGTTAACTGTACATCCTCCAGGTGAAGTGACCATTTCGTCCAGCTGAGTACACCAGGGACCATTCTGGCAGACAAGAGCCATCCTGACCAAGAAAAGGGCTCTGTGCTATTTCAAGTTCAGTTCCACTTCCATAGCAAACCTCAATGGACAAAACCATGGGCCATCAATAATACCATCATGAAAAACTTGTTCCAGGCATCTGATGCAAGCTGGTGCAGCATTCACTGGCTGTGCCTTATAGTACAGAAACTGCTAAAGGTCTGAACTATGGCAGAAGCCCCCGAGCATGACTGCTGGCCCGAGTGACCACTAGCACTGACTGATGCACACAATGCCCCACTCTCCACGAACGATCCCACACACTGGGGGCGTCATCTCTGCTTTCAAGATTTGGAATATGGAGTTTTATTCAGATGCAAGTGGAAGGCCATGAGCAGAAGTCTGAGTTCTGTGTTTCATGAGCATCGATGACTAAAAACCAGGCCTGACCTCACGGGACTTCAGACTTAGAAAAAGAGGCGACCTCTACCTCAACAGCTGATCACAGACGGAGGCTCCAGGGGGACTTCCCTGCTCTTCCCGGTCCCATTTTATCCTCTGCTAACCTGCCACCATTGCCTGGAAATTAAAATTTCATTTGAATTTAGCACCGAGTAGATTCCCTTAATATCATCCGTGTGCAAAACTCACAAAATCCAGGATCTTTCCTTCATTTCACTTCCTGCTGCTATCTCCCCAACACTCATCCCCGCAGGCAAAATCCTGGGGAGTCCCAGTGGGTGCCCCGCTCAGCAGGGAGCACACAGCGCCTCCTTGGGAGCCAGGAAGAGTGGGGATCAGAGGGTGCACTCCAGGCCCCTCACAGCAGGGGCCACGGGATGCCCCCTTGCTCAGGACCTTCGCCTTCACACACCTCCTGAGCCCTGGAAGGCGTCCCTGTGGTCCACAGGTAAGAACGGGGAGGGTCATCGTTGAGGTCTTCTTTGACCCTCGCATCATGCACTCAGTTCTTACTCCACGCAGCCTCTGGTGCTGGTGGACACGGGGCCTTCATGGAGGCTCTCAGAAGGACAATGGATTAAACAGACAGCAGAACAGAACAGGATGGGCTGTGTTTGCTGGTTTGGGTTTTTTTGCAAACACATTTTTAAATGCCTATCTGGTGAGACGATGCTAGTGGAATTGCAAGGCTGACCAGAGGAAATATGTCCCCTGCACAGGTTAAGATTATGTCCTAAAGTAATGGGGAGACCACGTGCTTCGGCCTCTAGGTTTTTATTTATTTACTTAACAGAAGCAACCCAGGGCCTCATGCGTGCTAGGCAAGTGCCCCACACGGAGCTGGACCCCTGCCCTATTTTCTTAATCAACACCTGCAGACTGTGTCCACAGCATGAGCAGGTCTTGCCCGGGGGCCTCCGATGGAGCTACCTAGAGGAGATGCAGAGCAGCCAGCATCCTGGAGGCCACCCCAGGGCTGTCTGACCTCTGTCACTAGAGTTTAGCTTTGATTCATCTTAAAGGCTGATCTCATTTTTACAAGACGATTTTGTTAATTTTATCTCTAAATAAGGAATTACAAAGTAATTATGCTTTGGGGAAATTTTATATCTGTTCCAATGATGTATGTATTTTAAAATTTCTTTCTCTGCCCCTCGCCCTCCATTTCCCTGTCCCTCTTTAGATAGTCTCCATCTGTCTAACCAGCTAACCCAGAAACACCTAAAAAAAAAAACATAGAAACACTTAGAAAATGCTAATTTGTACTTCTTGTGTGGAGCTGGTCTAAAATAACAAAAACAAGTAAAAAGTATCAAAATACCTGAGTAAAAGAAAAAAAAAATCCCCTCTCTGGCAATCCCTGGGGATGGCTGATGTGTGGGCTAGATGGAGCCGTCAAGGACTGTCAGGAGCCGGCTGCTGGCCCCGAGCTGAGTGTCCTCCATGGCGGAGGGTGGACAGCACTGCAGCGGGAAGCCGTTTAGGTGAGGCTCCGCGAGGCAGAGCGCGGCCTTCTGCAGGAGAGCCCGTCCAGACCTACCATTGCAGGAGGGTAGCACGCGGTCCCAGGAGGGCTTTCCGTCGGCCCCGATCACACACGTGATGGACGAGGGGTCCATGATCTTGTACCCAGAGTCGCACTGGTAGGTGACGGTGGAGCCCAGTTTGAAGTCCGTTCCTAGTCTCGTTCCATTCATTATGTTCCCAGGGTCAAAACAAGCTTCCCGGGGCTTCTCTGCAGAGGAAGCAAAAGCACAATCCATGAGAGAGCTGTCTCCATTCTTCCGCATTCTTTGGTTCATCATTTGCTTATTTTGTTTAGGGGTCACACAATGCCCTGCCTAAGAATTTTTTTCAGAAATATTTATTGGTTGCCTAATGACTAACTTGACCTACTCATAGTTAAAAGTAGGAAAATTCCTTTTTAGTAAACTATATTCTTTTTTAATTTTAGTTGTCGTTAGACATGATATCTTTATTAGACTTATTTATTTTTATGTGGTGCTGAGAATCAAACCCAGGGTCTCGAGCGCTCTTCTGCTGAGCCACAACCCCAGCCCCCAATTATATTCTTTTTTAAAACCACATTTTACTACAGAATTGATATTAAATTACTTTCATCTAGGTAAAAAAAGATACAGTTTTAGATTTTTTATACATTTACCTTTTTTGGCTGTGGATTTTTGTATTGAACCACATAAACTGATTCAGGAAAAAACTGAGGTTTGTTTTCTGACCTTTGTACACAGGTTACACCAACATGTAATCACCCCACACATGTAGAAAGAGATGGGAAAACTGGGTTTCCCAAAAGGAAAATGGCATCATTCACGGAGTCAAGAGCACTTTCTGCTCATGATGATGGAGATGTTGAACCCAAGCCCAGAAGGATGTCTTGATTCCTCTGTTGCTCTCTGCACTGTTTTTCCTGTCATAGCAGGAAAAATACATTTCCTGACTGGTGACGGTCAAACGTGGTGGCCTGCAATCACCACCCACGGCTTCATATTAACTGTGGAAACTGCTGAGCCTTCTTGAGGTCCGTTATCACCTGTTGACTGGGTGGTTAAACGCCCCATGGTCCTCTTCACCACACCTCAGCGAGGTGAGGGCTGCGGGGATCTGAAGTTCACAAAGCCAGGTTAACTCCCACAAAGCACCCTGCAGAGACCTGTCCAATTGGAGCCTCTTAGTGAGACATTTGGTTTTGACTGCACTTAGTGGCACCACCAGGGAAGGGCAAGGGGACAGGGCAGTGGAAGACAGGGAATGTAGGAAAGGGCACCCGGGGCATGCGTGCCCTCAATGCCGGAGATAGGCTAAGGCGGAAATGCCATGGAGAGACCCGCTTACGGGGACGCTCAATAGGCACCGACAATCGCAGCCACTCATGGGCATTGCCAAATGTCCACCCCAAACAGCTTTTTCTTCTCAGTCCTTGGCTCTGCAGGCCACTTCAGTATCTTCTAGTTGTCACAAGATTTTAAACTATCTATTTCAACAGACCATCCAAGATGTCACTAAATCAACATATATGTGTCCTATGTGATTTCAGCATTTGAACAGCTTTTGTCAGTGTACAAAGGCACGTTCTTCATGCCCTTGTCAAGTTCCCAGTAAGTCTAGCAGCCCAGGGAGTGCAGCCTGACTGGCCTTTCAGTGCCAAGATAGAAGTCACACTTCACTTTCTAGCTTCAAGTCATGAAAATCTCTGGGGCAGAGACAGAGAGAGGATGTGTGTGGGAATAATGAGATTATTATCAGGTTAGGCTCTAGGGTAACTTCAAAGTAGACAGATTGAGTGTTTTAGCTCTTTTCCTTTTGGTTTGTCAATCTTATTCTCTGTAAAAATCCATGAACAGCAATCCCTTTATTCATTAAAGAAAATCAAACAAATGTAATCATCTCTGGGAAATGTAAAGGAAGAGTGAGTCTTTTTTTTTTTTTTTAACCAGGATCAATATTGATTTGCTTCTGTTATTTCCTCTTATTGATGGTCTATCACTCTCCACTCTTCCTGGCAATTCCACAGGTGGGTCTTGGACCAAATCCACACTGCAACCTGTCGCAGGTGTGCACAGAGCAGCAGTAACGTAGCTTGGGAGGCCATCCAGCACACCTCCTAGGAGTGGACATTGTGCAGTGGAGGAGAACAGAAAACAACATTCCCACATGTTGAAAAGCCCTGCAGGAAGCCAAAGGGGGCTGCCTCGCTGGGTTCATTCAGTATCCGTGGTTGTATTTTAACAGTCTAAATCTCAACATAGGCCAAATAGAGATTTCACTGCAATGGTTCACTCAATCTCTTATTTGCATCTTTTAAACATGCTAAATATTCCATCTATTGCAGTGATCTCTGACATGTAACAACGTGTAGCTTATTTGCATATTTGGGTCCATGATGCAGACACAGTGGTGAAGAATCTCCACGGGCTTCACTGTAAGGGCTCTGGCCATGGAAATGTTCAGCGTTCCTCTGTGAGCAAACTCCCGGGGTGCATTGTGGGGCAGGCACTCTGTTTTCCACACTTGGAATATTCTGCAGTTTCCCCCAGGAACTAGCAAGATAACTAATACAGGTGTAATACCTAGCTGCTATAGCAATGCCCTGCATGAGGAGGCTCTGTGCTAGAGTCTTATTAACCTCGACCTTGATCTAGCCACTTAGCTCCTGGGAATAATGGAACTCTCTGGTTAGACAACCACAATGTGTCACCAAGCAGTGCTGAGCCTGAACCTGTCCATGTAACAGTAACTTCTTGAGAGCTACACAGCCTCCCAACATTGCACATTGCAACTGTAGAATGTAACTGAGGAATAAGCTGCCTAATGTTGCTAATTCTGTAACCTGCCTGGTGACACCACGAACCATAATGCACTACTAATGCCAGTGACCTAAGGTGACCTGCTGATATAAATAAGACTGGCATCTTGGACAAGGGGCTTGCTGCCTTTCTGCCACTTTGCCTCTGCACCTGGCTCCTGTCTCCATTTTTACACCTGTTTTGTTGTTAGTCTCTTGCCAAGCACAGAGTGGTACGTGGGGACCAGGGCTCTCTGAATGCTTCCTTGAAACCTATTTGTACATTTCAATGGCAGCTGACATGTTCATGACTCTTAGTAGCAGCCTTAAATGCCATGAAAAACATAGAACCTTTAAGAAATTAAGGGAGGAAAAAATACAACTCTGCTCAGGTAAAAGCCATTCCCGTCCCTGTTGTTTGATGGGTTACCCAACAAAAGGTGCTGAGCATCTAGTGATTACAAGTATTAATCTTGGTTACATTTTTTCTCCTTTAAAAGAGTGAAAACTGTTCAGTGCCTGTCCATCAGTATGTATCCACAGCCTTTTCATCCATTTGATCATATTTTGCTGTAAATCTCTTGTAGCTTGGCTGGCTGTTTGGTGAAGCTTCACTTACACAGCTTGCCACTTTGTGCCTGTGATTTCGAGATCTGATGGTGGCTTTTTTTCAAATGAGTGGCATCTCATCTTTTGGTTCCTTTTACCTAGCTGTCAGTTCAGGACGCTCGGTGATAAATCACTGGCCCTCTCTGCTTACCACATGCCACGTTTCCTAATTGGATGACTTCATAACATGAGTGTCCTGCTGCTGTCCTTGTCTGCTCTGCTTAGGAACACTTGTGCATCTTCCTGTTCTGGGGGCCAAGTGGATGGAGCATGCCAGGTCCCTCTAGTGACCCTGAGTGCCGCTGCCCTGTGCCCTGGGTCCCGCCTGCCTTCGGATGGCAGTAACGCTCTTGGCTGGTGAGGTAGCACTGGCATTGCTTTCCCAGGATTTTTTTTTCTTGGACTCTATACAAGAACTTTTTAAACACTAAGAGCTACAGCCCTCTCTCAGGTGGCTGAGCTGCTTACCCAAGAACCCCTCAGAGGTTGCGTGTATGTTACTCATGGGCCATTTCCCCATTCAGCCCTCGACGGACTTCCCTAGGAATGCCCGGGAGAAGAGCAGGCGTCTGAGCAGGCAGGGAGCAACATGCGTTCTGCATTCGGATGCAGGTTTGTCTTGCTCCTTGGTTTTGCTTTGTTTTGGGCTACGGTAGAACAGACACACCTGGTGAGGTGCGTTTTAGAGAATCCCTGTTAACACGAGAACTTTCTGACGGTGTGGTAAATGAGTGGTGTCACAGTAGTTCATAAAAGTGACAATTTCTATTTGAAAGGCACAGGCCCTCCTCTGATGCTGAATCCTGTAATTTTTATTGTACATTTTAATGAAGGCTTATAATATTTTTATGTTTTTGGGAAAATAGATTAATTTTCTATTTAAAATCATGAAAAAAAATAAACCCATTAAAGAAGTAACAGAATTGAAATGTATCCTGTTTTCCTTTATAATTCCACCTATGAATGGAATTCAAGAAGTTTTAATAAATATTTCTATTAAATTTTTGATAAAGCAGTGTGATAAACTAATATTTTAGCAAATTGTCTTCTCTAATTCTTTGTGTCATACCTCACATTTTCTTTGTTTACATGAGAAATAGATTGGAAAAAATAATATTCTTTTCATGTGTTCAAAGGTAAAATGCTCAGTGCAGGTGGATGTCAATGACAGGGCATGGTGGACCGAAAGTGGGCCCCTGACCCCACAGCCAGAGCACGGTACCCTGCCCAGGGCCAGGGCTCCTCACAAAACCAGAACCCCCAGGCAAGACCAGGGCAGGCAGCAGCTGGTCACAGTGAAAGGAGCTGAGATGAAACTGTGATAGTGTGGCGTAGTAAAATTGAGTCATCCTCAAGAAACACATCAGAAGATATCTGCTGATAAAATCATCAAATTACTGAAGATGTAAACCATCATTTATTTTTAAACAGCTGTGAACTTGGAAAATATTTTCCCATCTTGGTTTCTCTCAGCCCAGGCAGAAATGTGTCTCTGGAATTTTGTCTCCACTAGAGAGAGGACAGAGGAGGGACACGTTGACAGCTCAGGCTAGACAGATATGAAGATGTCGTGAGGAAAGTGCACAACTAAACCAAGTCAGACACAGGCCAGCGCCCCTCCAGTTCAGCCCACCTCATACCTTTGAATTCAATGGCAAACCCGGACAAGCCCACAGAAGCATCGCTCCGAAATGCCAGGAAAAGGCTGTTCCCACTGCTCTCGATCCTGTCCGGGGCTTGAGAGCCCTGGAAGCTTCCGATGAGAGGACTGTTGGAGTCCTCACCTTCGTAGACATGCAGGAAGTCGTAGCTGGGCTCCATGTTGAAACTGAAAGGACAGAACCCGGTTACACTTGGTCCCCAGACGAGGACACCCTGTCTTTCAGGAGACGACCAGTCAACTTTGTTTGCTTTTGTATAATAATTTTAATAATTAGGGAAATCAAAAAGTAACATGTAATAATGAGCAAAAATGTAAAATGGCATTTCCAATGGCAGTGAATACTCTTTGTACTTTGCACAATTTTGAAGATGGCTCAGAGAAACGCATCATAGTAACCTTGGTGTGACGCCCTTGCCCGTGTCCTGAATTGGCTCATGAGATGTGATTTGAAAGAAGTAGCCTCAGAGGAGTGAATTCCTACTAATATTTGGTTTTTATGTGATATACCTTTGGCATTACTATATACTTTTATAGTTTTAAAACTGCTTTTTGTTTAATTTTAAAAAATGTAATCGTCTCTCTTTCCTTAGACAAATGGGCCAATCTTGACAGTCGCACCAGGGAAGAGTGTGAACTTTCAGGTATCGAGTGTCAACGCCCGACTAGTCCAGCTCTGGCTCTCCCTCCCTTCCTGCCTCCCAGACCCTGCTCTGGGTTTTGCCTCTCCCCTTCTCCAAAGCCGACATACAGCCTGTCCCCACAGACTGACGTAGGGAGTGGGCTTCCACTGAAGCGTCCGGGGCAGGCTGCTGTGGGGTGAGCTGGCACAGGCTGGGAGCCTGGGCCTTGGGCACTCTCCAATGGGAGTCTGAGGCTGGCCAGGTGTTACGAGCTGGTTGGACTCCATCAGCCAACCAGGAGGAGCCACTGGGGGCGGGTCATCACGCAGGCCAGCAGGCCCTTCTCCTCTCCTCTCACATCCAGGACTTAATCCAACCACTATCCTGTCACAGGAATTTCTGGTATGTGAGACAGAGACGCCAGGGTTTCTCTGTGGTCCCATCACAGGGCTCCTTTTGTCTGCAGAGTCAAGGAAAGAGCCAGGACAGGAAGTCCCTCCCACGCCATGGGCTTCTTCCTGAAGCATAGGGGTCTGGGAACAGCAGGGCTCTGCTCTGCCCTGCATCTCACCGCCCCTGCAGGTCTGGGCTGCACTTCACTCCTGCAGTGGGAGGCCCTGAACACAGTGTCTGCAGCAAGCTGTACCTGCTTTCTTTGTCTGTTTATCTGCAAGTTCAGTGAAGTCAGAAATGAAGGAGTGAACCATCAGGGTTGCTAAATTTAGGAGGCTCACGGGAATTGTATAGACCAAGGAGAATTTTATTGGGATAATGATTTTTTTCAGAGTATTTTGCAAGGATGTTATTAGAATCTGGCCATGTTCCATCCCCAATGTTTGGCAAAGCCAATCATTATTACAGATTATTTGTTGTGCACTGAAAATACAATCAGACACACAACTCAGGAAGCAAATTTCATCTGGTATCTCATTTTAGACAAGGTGTAGTTCATGCAGAGAAGTCTAGAGTTGAAAATTCGATTGATTACAGTTTCCTTGAAGATCTTATTTCTACCTGTGACAGTTGAACATACCTATAAGGCCTGTGAGTACTTTCAAGTCTGAGCAAGCCTGGGGCAGCCTTCTGTTGGGCCCTTAAACATCTCTGATCCTACCCAGGATCTGGCTTTCACCTCCCTACCCCACAGGTACAGCCATTAGGGTCCACCCCAGCCCACACAAACGTTCAGGTGGGAGAAGTTGCAGGATCAGATAACGATCTCTAGGAAGAGTTGGAAGAGATGCCGGGGCCTTCTGCAGAAGACTTGCTACAGAGACCTCTGCAACACTGAAAAACTTGGCTGATACAACTGCCTCATGAGTCCTCCCATGAGGTGCACTTTGGGAACTTGGTCAATCAGTCAGCAATGGAAGACGGCAGATTCCCTCTCTCCCAGCTAGCCTTGGATTCTACTGTACTCTTAATCTCCTGGCACTGGACCTGGTTTCCATGAGGGCATAATAGAATTCAGCATTTTAAAAAAACATATACCCAATGACATGGCCAGCAAACGGTCACTGGATCTGTGTGTTTAGTTGAGTGTCATAAAAGTCTTCTTCATCTGGAAAATTTGTAGTAGTTTTAGAAAATTCCTGAAATGATGGCTTATCAACTGCTTGAGATTCAGAATCACAGATCCTCCACATCACACTGACTCGGACCTCATCAGGAGAAAGTGGAGGAGGGAAAGCACAGCGAGGCCTGAATGTTGATGCACAGAGCCTAAAAAGAAAGCTTGCTCCCAGGCAGATGGAGACAGAGGATTAGACCACTGGGCCCTGGACCTCTGAGCGGCCAGCGGGACAGTCCACTGCAGCGGTTACCTAGAAAAGCATTACATTCATCCAATTCAAAGACCAAAGTGGAACACTGGAGGAGACCTTGGGAGTCAATAAAACTGAACTGTGGAGTACTGTGTATATGAGATAGCATATTGTGGAACCTATAAAATATTAATAGTGCTTGAACTTTTATCATCTAGTACAGCAGGAAGGACCTATTTTTCAGACCAATACCTAACAATTCAAACCCCCAGCAACCAAGTTTGGGGAGCTTCCCTTTTCAAAGCTCATCCACTCCTAACCCTCTGCGTGACAGCAGTGTGCTGCCTTTGGGATCATCAGCCACGGAAAGTGTACACTAGAGAAGTGGGAGGCTCTGGCTAGGATTATCCCAGAGCACCTGCCGTAGTCGATTCTTTCTGAATGTCCTGTGAGTGCAGGCCTCAGGGTGGAATGGTCACGTCACGCAGCCGATGAGCCACAGTTAGAGGCGCGCCTGGCCCACGGAGTGCCACCCAGCAGAGCCAGCCTTTGCAGCCCGTCACCCTGCACGTGCGGACAAAACCAAGGCAGCCCAGGTGCAGAGTGGACACTCTGAAGGGTCAGGGAGGTAACTCGGGCGTGGTGTTTGAAAGCCCACTGAGCAGAGGTGCTCTGCTGAGCCGTACCTTTTGAATATCAAGGCGATGACGAAGTCCGGGTTCACCTTCACTCGCCAGTCACACTCCTTCCCGGGAGGGTATGGCTGAGGGTAGTTAGGGGACAGGATGACTCCTGCAGGGCCCGTCAGATTGCCACCACATGCCGCTGGCAGAACAGAAGTCACAGAGAGCGAGTTAGGGTCAGAAGAGAGCTGGCAGAGTGCAGGGGACCGCTCAGGCCCTCTGACAAAGCCTCACAGGCTCATTCCCACCCATCCCCGACATTTCAGAGCCAGAGGTATGTTTTTCATGTTAATAAATTCTACGTAATGCCCCATCTCATATTTAGGGAGAATTTTAGAACTTCTGGCAATTACAAGTTTCTTCATATAATTTTGGATTGGACCAACTACTTGATCCCCATGTCACCAACATTTACGTGCACGACCCTTAGGGACACATACCCACAATGTCACCTAGGACATATAATGAACAGGAGCAGAACACTGACTCCTAAAAATATTTTATCATAGTACTTAGAATATCACTATTAAAAGGAACACTTCGTGGATAATGATAGAGTGAGCTCCTTTTTCAGTCTTCAGTTGTGAGGTGGACGTGTTCACCTTCATGTTAGTAAAGCACTCATGACATAAACTCACTGTGGTTAGAAGGAAAGCCACTTTTTGTTGTTGAATCCGAAATGTTTAGGATCATTTCATGCACTAGAAGACACTTCTGTTAAGCCTGCTGTTACATGACGATGTTAAAACACCTCAGTTTGTTTGCTAGCACACAGTGTGGACACTTCCGTGAGCATGTGGGTTAGGGGTTTTCCTGTCAAACCCAGTGACTTCCCACCAAGTTGTTCTAGGACACCACTCCAGCTAGACCACAGCATCCCGGAACCATGGGGTGGGGGGCTTTTTAATACCCTTGAACATACATAAGTTTAGGAAAAAAATTAACTAGAAAAGAAAATGCCCTCTGGTGATTGTTTTCAGAAAGAAAGAAAGAAAGAAAAGAAGACTTTGTGGGTCTTCAATTACTTAATATTCCTGAAGACAGTGTTTCAAGAGAAGAAACCCAACTAAATCCAGTATGTTTTGTTGCAAACTCAATCTGATCAAAACAAATTGGTTCACAGGGTGCAGGCTGCCAGGAGAGGCCATGCCTCTGCCCCAGACTAGTGAAAATGCACAAGAGTCTCATGCTGAAAGCAAAATCTTCAACTTCAGAAGAGCCATGCAGGACTCTGTCATCTAAAAGCACTTTAAGTGGGTCACTAGGTACATAAGGAAATTGTGAAATCGATTCACCATGTCTGTTAGCTCTCTGCTACATGCTATCTAGGTGTGTGTCTGCAGATCCAGCTACTGACATCACAGGAGAGCGGTCAATTGCCTGCAGGTGGTTTCCGCCCCCCTTGCAATGGATGGTCAAGACAGGAAGTATGGTGTGAGCTTTTGGCTGAGGTATACGCTATTTAGTTGCTGCTCAAAATTAGGTAATGAAGACATGAATCAAGAGAAAAATTATAGTTGGGAAGATAGTCAAACTTCACGATTTCATTTTTAAGTCAATGTGAAATGATACATTTCCTTTAAGAGATTAACTCATAGAGGTATTGCTTTTTAATATGTTCTTCCTTGAGCTTAAAAACCCGTAATCGGAAGGAAAAATTCCTTTCCTAATTTAAAAATAGGTCAAAGACTTTTAAAGGATGGTTTCATTGATGGGTAATTACTCCACTTGAAAAAAACCAAAGGATCTTGCAAGGCTCCTGAGCTTCCGCCTGAGCTGGAACAGGGCTGGGCTCACAGGAGTCAGAGGATGTCCCTGGGCACAAGCCAGGGGCTGAGGGTCTAAGCAGAGGCTCTCACGTCTCCTGGGCCCACAGAGCACCATGGCCAGCACTGTGCCCAGCTCCACGGGGACAGAGGGGCTGGGCTGCTGTGCACTCCCTCGAGAGCACTCGAGCAGAGTGGCCTCCAGTGGTAAGCACACGGCTTCCCCCTCACCGCCTCCCTCAAGGGTCAGTTCCGTTTCACATTTTCCAGCAGATTATAATGAAGCACCAACTAAACAGTGACAGTTCATTAAGATAAGAAAGACTACTCGAGTTTCTTTTTAGAAATTAAGATAAAATGCTCTAAATAGTATTCCATGTTAAAATATTTCATCGAATGAATAGACAGTCTATGTGCAATTGTATTTTATATAAGAACATATATTTCCCTAAAATGGCATTTTTGATAGAGATCTAGGAAGGTCATAGTCTACAGAACCATTTGTTATTCTTTTAGTAAGGTGAAACAATACAATTTTAATGGATATTAAAAATGTTTCTTTTTCATTTTCACAAAAGCAGTATAATTTCTAGTTTTCAGTGTTCTATTGAAAATGTACTGACATTCTAAAAAAAAAACATCTAAAAAGAGAAAGCCCTTCTTAGTGAGTAGGTTTTGCTTAAGGGCATGTGTCTCCATTAGGAAAGGAAACAGTGAGGGCAGGTTACAAATTTTGAATCAACAGGAATTTTAAATTACAGTGGTTTGATTGACATATATTTAAACAAGAATTATTATGGACATGAAATGTTAGATAAAGTCAATTACTATATATTGAGTAAATCATTTCCTTTATTTTACATAGTAAAATAAAGGCTCACAATAAAATTTCAGCATGGCCTCAGAGAGCCCAAGGATATTTAAGAAACTCTTGAAAAGTCTTTCTGAAGACATACTCCATGGTTAGAGCAATGCTGATGTCAGCATGCATGCATTTCCAAACATGAATTTCTTATTTTCTGCTGCCCGATACCTATGCATGTAGGCGGGTCTGGTTGCCAGAAGAAGCGGTTGTTGAGCTGCACACAGGTGATTTTATCTTGTCCTTGAAGCTGATACCCAGGGTCACACTGGTATGTGATGGTGTCTCCAGGCTCCCGGCTGTCCCCGTACCGGGTCCCATTCTGTGGCATCCCTGGGTCATTGCAGGTGGATGCCACGGATGCTGCAAAGAACAGACAAGACCAGGTGAAGAGCCGAGGCTCGGCAGCTCCCTGCAGGCACGGCCTCGTGAGTGGAGCACGCTCCGTGCACAGTCAGCCTGGTGATGGTGTCGCCTTGAACGAATCCTAGCAAAATCGTACTGAAAGTGCAGCCATTAGGGAATGCGTCAAGGTGTCGCATTTTACTGAGAACACACGCATATATTCCTGCCTGATTTGCTCTTTCAAAATATTGTAATAAAAAGCATGATTCAAATAAAGATCACCAATCCCAAGGAACCTCAAGTAAAATAAAATAGGGAGAATTTTCTTAGAGTCTAAGCCTTCAAGGTGACCGATGACCCTCAACTCAATGGGAACCCTCTGCTGACTCTGGGATGGGAGGGGGTCAGAGGGGATGACTGGTCAGTATTACCCAGAATGCCATGGGTCCCACAGATGCTTTGGGGTTGTTATTGATAATCCCTTTCACTCTGAAGAGTTCCAACTTGGCCACCCCAATCCTAATGAAAGATATGAAAATGATATCCATCCCTTTGGTGTCCAAAAAAAAAGCATTAGAATTTCAAGTCCTTTGTGCAGAAGCCGGTGTCACAAAATAGTCTGGCAGAGAGTCTATGGGACCTCTGGAGCCTGGTGACCCGAGGCTCTGATGTCGCTGCGACCCTTTCACTACCCCCAATCCCTGCTTCTGAAATCCCCCACACGGACAGTTCAAACCCAGCCCGAGTTCAGCAGTGAGGACGCAGCCAGCCCAGGTCAGAGCCCAGCACAAACCCAAGGCCAGTGCAGGGCCCTCTCCACTCCAGTCTCTGGATGCCACGTGTTAATGCCGAGCTGGATTAGGAGGGCACACCTGAAGGTCCAGCCATGCACACCTTTCCAAGTTTGCCTATTCTACCAGAACAGGTCTTGCTGGCCCTGCAGTGCTCAAGAGACTACGAGGGACAGTCTTCCTTCTCTTCCAGGCACACCAACCCCACGTGTGTACCCACCCATCTCTCCACACACCTGGTGATTTAAAGCCATGAGAAGGCTTTGCTCTCAGTTTTGTAAATTCTGGAAATTTCACATACATATGCACACACACACACACACACAATGCATATGTATATATTTATCTTATATACTTACCTTTATATTCACATACACGTATAAATAAAATCCACTTAGATATAAAGATAAAGAAGACCTGCTCTTTACTCTTGAGAAATGTCTAGCCAAATGTGAGACAGAAAAGTAGGGACCATGCAGATAAAGGATCAAAGACCCAACAGCAAGTGTCACGCTAAGGGCTTCAAGGATCTCTGGTTGGTCAGAGCTGCTTCAAATCCCAGCACCCCTCATTAGGTCTTAATTAGCACTTAATGATCACTCAGGCTCACTGATGTTTGGCTAAGCACTCAGTAAAGGAGAGACTAATATCTAGGTGATTAGCTCAGCCAAGGAGAGGAAGTGCAGAGCGTGCTAACTGGGCCCCTCCTCCTCTCCAACTAATTGAGGGCAGAGGCTGTCTTAACGACTCCATCTTTTCCCCTAATTGGTTGGTACTGAACTTTCACATGTCTGCATACGTGTGCCTACAACACAGCAAGAAGGAAAGTGAACGCGGGTCGCCCACTGCAGAGCTGGAACACCATCCGCACACCAGTGTGACCCACGTACCCCTTCCCAGCTCACCTCCCCCTCCAGGCAGCCACCACCCTGAGATCCAGGTTGCCAGCCGCTGGCTTTTCCAGAGAGCTGCCGTCAATGTGTGCAGCTTTGTGGGCGTACCTCTGCGTCTGCCCTGGGGAGCCGTCCACCTTCCGCTGGGGCGTCCTCTCCTTCTTGCTGGGGTGTTTCTGGGAGCCCCCGCAGAGGTGCCGTGCTCTGGTTCATCTGTGGTCATTGCTGGGCAGTGCCCACTGTGAGAGTGCACCTCAGGTCCCCCCTCTTGGTGGCCTTGGGCCGATTTCTTTGGCCTTCCATGGACTGCTGCTGTGGAGACCCCACCATGTGCCCTTGTGTGCCCTTGTGCCACGTGACCTCTGCTCCTGCCTCCGGATTCCCACTTCCTAGGAGCCTGGCGTTGGGTCCCTGTTGGGCCTGGCCTGGACCCTTGTCCTGGGAGGGCAGTTAGCCTCATTCTCACCACCAGCTCCGTCCATCTCCCTTCACCCCCTTCTTTCCTACCTTTTTGCCTGTTTTGTGCTGATCAGTTTTTATGTTCTCCAGTCTTCATTTTAACATTTCCTTAGAAATTTCAACGTGTGCTGAGTTACACTATCCCTGCTTTCCCGTCCCAAATCCTAGGACCCTTCGGTTTTTATCACTCCCCCCTTACTGACATGCTGTCAAGTGCTTTAGCTCTTCTTTGAAACCTTAGATCTGGCCATTGTCTGCTTGGGTGTATAAATGCTGTGGATCAAAAGCAGCATCATCATCATCATCATTTATGTTTCTGTGTACATTTACCCACTTAACTTACTGTGTCTTCCTGTTGCTCACCCTAGACTTTCACCTGGCTGGATTTTCCCTCCTCCTAAACACCTTTCTTCCTTACCTCTAATAGGGACATGGCCATTGGGATTACTTTCGACTCTGTTTGGCTATCCATGGGCCCAGGCTTCTCCTGGGTGGTCATTCTCGCTTACCTTCTTACCATCTCATTCTGTAACCTCAACCCTCATGCTCACTAAAGTGGTTGGCACTTTTAGAATTGGCACTGCTGCTCCTGTGACCTGGATAATCCTGTGTTTGTGTTGAAGGTTTGTTCGTCCAAAAGGGGTTGATTTCACGAGGCGCCTGAAACAATGGGAACCTTTGGGGACCACACAGACGGTCAGAATCCCCCATACACTATGAACTGCTGTGGTCATGAACGGCCACCTCTGCGTCTACCCCATGTCCCCCTCTGCCCCTCTGCCTGGCTTCCCTGTGCTGAGCCCACTTTGGCGTTGGAGGTGTGCGCTAGGCGTCCTTTGGATTTCCGGAGCAGAAAGGCCTATCACTGTTTCACGACCTGGAGCTGTAGGACGCTCCGGGGAAGCTCCATGTCACGAGGGTCCCCAGGTGTCCCAGGACAAGGCCACTGCCGAGGTGCAGCCTCTGCGTCGCACATCTTCAGGGCTGTGTGGGGAACCCAGTCTCTGCAGGCTCAGCACTGCATTCCACAGAGCTAAAGGAGTGTCTCAGCACTTTCAGTATTCTCCCACTGGAGTCAACGTCCCACTCACTGTAAGGCTGGCAGTGAGGTCAGGGTGATCCTCTCTGAGCTACAGGGCACGGGGGCTGACCCCTCATTCTTCTTATCACCTCACTGTTTGCATCAGCATTCATGTTCTGAGAAGAGGAACTTCACATGGAAACAATGTCTGTGGAGATCAAGAGAAGGACAGTGCTGGAGTTTCTGAGTAGATTCTGTGACAGGAGGAGTGCAGGTAAGGCTGTGTCAAGGTGAACTGGAGGAGCCTGCTGTCATTCCACTCTTCTCCCAGCATGGCGGAGGCTGAAAGATGACGTAAACCCACACAACAGTCCAGGAGGAGACCGGGACAGCAGCAGGACGCAGGGCAGACGTGGAGACAGTGGTAACAGAGCATGTGAGTGAAGAGGTAAGTGCTCCTTAGCTCATGGTGTATAACAAACGGAAACACTGAGCCCAGGTATTAGCTGAAGCTTATGCCAGTTACGCAGAAAGGCAGGTTGTGAAGACGGCTGTAGATGCTCTTTGAGAAGGTGCTTGCATGTGCTTATATACCTTCAAGGATTGCTTGACATTACCAGCAAATCCACCATTCAGGTTTACTCAAATTGAAATGAAATCCAAAATCTTCACACTGTCCTCTTAGAACTACGAATAAAAATTTTAAAAAAAAAAGTCCTAGGGTCATCCAGATTGGATTAGAAAAGCAACAAGAAGACTTGAGAGAGGAAAAAAATTAAGCACCGCCTTGGGAAGAACACAGGGCTGGGTCTTTGAAATGAACTTCATCACACTTCCCTCCAGTTTGCATTGCGGAGGATGTTCCTGTGAAGGCAGTGACCTTCGTCCACTCCAACCCGGGGCCCAGCTGAAGGCGCCCGACTGGGCAGAAGAGCTTTTCCACCCTCAGGGTCACGCTGACGTCCTCGATGAAGCAGGTTCCCAGTTCTGCTTGGTGGCTGTACTCTCCCATGTGACACCACGTACCTTCCACTCAGCTCGCGCTTCGAGACCTTTGTGGGGTGCTGGTGACTGAGTCTTCCCAGTTCCTGGTGTAGAAAGGGAATCAGTACCTCCTAGAACTCAGTCTTACCGACTGCCTCTGGAAGAGGGCAGGGTGCTGGGCTCCGCAGTTCCTGGGGATGCTCAGGTCCCCCAGGCTCTTCTGCAGACCTTCTGCATTCAGGGGACGTCTCCCCGCCTCCAGCAGAGGCCTCTGGAGCCTGTGTTTCGCTCTTGCAGAGCAGCGGGTCTGCCCCTGTTATAGGGTGCAGCAGGGACAGGGTGCAGCCACCGTGGGGCTGTGCTAAGAGCCAAGTATATGATGCATGGCATTTTTGGTTGAAAGGTGACGCCAGCTAGCCATTGAGATGATATGATTATGTTAAGATTTGCATTCATATGGATATTGGACTCCTGCTGTTCACCTAGGCCGGCTACCGGACTCCTGGAGAGTTCCCATTGGTTGGGGAAGTACAGTAGGAGGGAGTTCCGGGGGAGGAGCTCTCTCTGTGGGTCCGGGAGGAGGCGGCGTGGGTGGAAAAAATCTTCCCGGGCGGTACCGGACATTGGCGGCAGTTTCAAAAAATAAACTTTGTTCCTGCTTGAGTGGCTTGTGATTTTGTGCCCAGCCAGACTGCGGCAACTGGTGGCCCGCACGGGGAACGCCTGAAGCTTGGAGGTGAGTAAAATTGCTCGCCCCTGAGGGAAGGCAACAAAATGGGTGACCATTTCAAAAAACAATGTGTTCTCGTTTTGATTTATCTTGTTTCTGTTTCAAGCTGCCTATCCCTAGAATTTTCTCAGGCAAAATGG